GTTTAAATCGTTCAAGAGCTCTAATGAGCCGATTTTCATACAATAGCTGATCCAGAGTGTCACGTGTTGTTCCTGCCTCTCTCATTGTAGCAACAACACTTTTCTCTGTCCAAACAGAAACATGGATAACAAACCTTGTAGAGTCCTGGTGACAGCGGGGAAAAACACAGGCCTAAACAGAGGAGCTAATGATACCCTTGGCTGGCTGTAAACAAGAGCAATGTTCTCGCTGAGACATCAAGAATTCCAGCAGTCGGTGACAGAGGGCCTAAAATTAGCCTAATGTTTACCCCGCTGGATGACAAAGGCCACAAACACACTCTGAAAGTTCTGCTACTCTTTAGTCAAGGAAAGATCATATCTTCAATTTATTACACTTATTTGAATGAAACCCTGAAAGTTGGCTAATTTTCTGGTAAAGGCTTCTGCTTCAGAGTCAAACAGTGAGGGATGGTGGTAAAAAATAAAAAAATCCCAGGAGATATGGAGCTGCTTGGAATCCACAGGTTATTAAGCTGAAAAGGGGGATGTCCTTACTGAAAATCTACAGGAAAGAAGGAGAGGGAGGAGTGAGGCAGGATTTCAGGCAGATGAAGAAAGATTATGAAAGCGTGAAGTGAGAAACACAGAGAGTATAAGTGAGAAAATAAAGCAGTGATGTGCTGCCAGGCGCCGGCTCAGCAGAGGTACTTCCCCTTATGTGCACAGCTGGATTTATGAGACGGTGAGCAATTCTGCCCTCGTCTTCTCCCAGACTGTGACACAAGCAGGGGAATTTAGCTTCACCAAGTTTGTCTGCGGCAAAAATAGTGCCGGACAGCATGGCTGCCTTCAAAGTAAACAAGTGTCTCTGAATTAAGCCCAAGAAATAATTACCTTTATGCTAAAACTGCAGGTTATTACAGAGACAAAAGTATTTCTGGCTGAAAACTACAGATCCCACTCATTTCTGATAAAGATTTGACAAAACAAATGAAACATGAAATAACAGCTTTTCCCAGAGTCAAGCTTGGACTGTTTTAGTTTGACACAAACTGACAGTGGGAGGATTTACTATGGAGCAGAAAAACAGAAGGTAGAGGGACGATTTTAGGGAGTTTGGATTCATAAAGTAAAACAAAATAAACCTTATGAAAGTAGAAACTACTGCCTCCTGTAGAGACAGCAAACACTTCAGAGAGGTGCTTAAAATCAAGGAAGTAGAGGAAATGTAGGAGCCTCTAGAAAGGAAACTATTAACGCAGAAGCCTGTTGGTTGAACATGAAAACTGAGCTGCCTTTCAGGATATGGCAGGAAGCTGAGCAAAGAACAGCAAAGCAGCCATGTTTTCAAATCTTTAAAGCCTTTTTCCAATGAAACTAGCAGGTTAACGGTTTTTTAAACATGGGTTAACCGGTTAACTGTCAGCGTTTGACTCCCTTCCCATTGGCAGTAAAAGCTGCGTGGCCTATAGGCTAATAACTATTGTGGATCTCAGTTTTATGAAATAAATAAGACATTTAGGAGCTTTTAATTTAAATTCCCCAAATATTTTATCATGCATTAAAATAAGAATGTAAATAAAATAAAACTATAATCCAAATAGATCTGGAGCGTGTTATATTATCCAGCACATAAAAAAAGAAAGAAAAAAAAGAAGCTGCAGGTCCGTTACAGGCGATTAGCTGTAGCTCCAACCAAATTGTTTATTTTTCAGCTTTACAACATAGAAATAAAATCTAAGCATCCAATCCAAATGTACTTTAACTTAAGGCTGCTAAATGTGTTTCCCCCTCTTAGTATTAAACCTCAGAGAGGCCGTGTGCAGCGCAGGATAAGGAGGAGATGCTCCCACAAAGCTTTTTTATCACACAAAGGACTTTGCTCTCCGTTCAGCCACATCCTCAGCAGCCATGTTTTCCAGGAATAAAGGCAGCAAGTCAGGCGGCAGCCACACAAACTCTACAAAACAGTAACTTATTTGGTCCGTTGTTAAAATTTAAATACCATGCAATCACGCTGTCAACGTCAAGGATATATTTAGGCTGTTGTCGGCAACGTATAATGTAGATTTTAGTGATTGAGATGCTAAATATAGCAGAGATGCCATCATTATTGGAAAAGAAAGAATGAAAATTAGAGTTAGTTATTAGGTTTCAGACCCATATTACAATGACAGACTTTCCCAACCATCAAGCCTTAATTCAGGCTTTATTTCACCAAAACAACCACAGCCTGTGCAGAAGCATGATGCTGCATGCAGCTGATACCAACATCACCCTGCTGGTATGAGCAGCCCTGTAAACATTACTTTCATCCTTATCGTTTGATCACAGCCATAAAAAAAATGAGCTATTCCAAAGGAAATTTCCTAAAATCCAAAACCAATGTGCAATTTTACAGGATCTAGTAGGCCTTTAAAATCACAGGCCTTTTATTACAACTGGTTAAGTTCAGAATGTATAGCTGATCTAAGGCAGCACCATGAATCCAGGCATGTTTTCCAGGCTATATGTGACATAGGAAGCAAGTGCGTTTTCTGAGAGGTCTAATGATGGACAATGAGTGTTTTGAAGGATTCAAACTAAACATTTCAATCATATAAACAGCTTTGCTGGAACACTGCAGTAAAGAAACAAAAACTCTTCATACAGTGATTTTATATGTCGATTCTGAGCTGTATAATAAAGCGTTTCTTGCCAACTATGAAGTAAATATTCAAAGTCTCTCATGCACATTAAACCTAGATGTAGCAGCATAAAAAAAAGTGATTTTACTAAATCTTTCAGAAACTCACACTAGTCTAGAGCAGTTTCAGTGAAGTTGTTGCCAGCCTTAGTACCTCTAATGGAACTTGAATCACAATTAGTAAAGCATGACTCTGAAACCTTCTGTTGAAGCTCTGGTTGAAGGTTTTAGGTCAGGTTAAAAAAATGCTGCAAAAATCATTGGGGTCCAAATAAAGAAACTAATCAACCAGTAAAGGTCTGGAGAAATTTTTAATTATAATCTGTTACTTTAAACAGAATTTAACACTGAAATAAAATTTGGTTTTTATGCATCCATGTTATACATTGACTTTTTAAATAAAAAATATATTTTTTTTAAATTTAGCATTTTTCCATTTTAAAATCTAAAGTGTTTTTTGAAGTAGAGAACAATAATCGTTCAGTTTGGTTTATAGATAATTT